CCCACGTCCTTGTACGATACAGAGCAATGGTCTCCTTCCCTGTTGTTGTAAAGGATTTCAAGAGCTCCTTTATCAATGTACGGTGAAGTTGCCGCTGACGTGCCTTAATCACAATCTCCTTCGGGGAAGAGTTCGAGCTTGCCGCCGAACCCAGGGCAGTTTCAGGGTGAAGTTCTGGAAACATTTCACGACGAACCAAGCGGGAAACGTCCTTAACGTTCTGTTCGGCTCTGTGGCGCTTCTCTTGAGCTTCCACCCAATTCTTGTTTTCGGGATTTGTCAGTAAGAACCGCTTCATCTCAGGTGATGATAGGTAGCAACAATGTACGGTAATTCGAAATGAGCGAATAATCACAATAACATTAAAAAGTGATGGGATTTATGATCTTTTTGAGAAGCAATCTTTTTGTTAACTACGGTAATCTAAGTGAAATAATAAAAAATATTCCTTACAATGGTCAAGCTCCGTGACCTTTGGTCCTTTGTGTCATCATGGAAGGTCGTGAGCATCAGGATGCCAGCACCATGCGCCGCTCCCGTACGTTCTCTGGGCGACAGATACCTCTTGAAATCGGTGAACTTCGTGTCGGGGGTTCTGGAAGACCAGTGCCTGCTGTGTTTCCTAGCGCAACCTCAAAACGAGCACGAAGTTCTTCCGATGAAACAAATTTGTCACCTCACGCGACTATCGAAGTGAGATTGAAAGTTTCGTAAGGTTTTGTTATTATATAACAATATTGTTTGATGTATCAAGTCCTTTTCTCAACCATTTCCTCGACGCAAAGTCGAAGTTACAAAGGTGCGAAAGAGTCTTTATTGATATTGTAATGACTTAATTATTCTTCTTTTGTCCCTTTTGCGCTAGACTGCCGCTCACGTATCAAGAAACTCGTCTGGCTTGAAATTACGAGCAGAAAAAGTGGTACGATCAAATTCCAGAACTTGCTCCCCTCAGATCCGTTTCAGGTCAAAATCTTCCTCGGCGATCAATGAAACTACAATTCAATCAACGAAAATGAAAGAATCTCAAACAAAGATCTTAGAATCTAGTCAAAATGATAGTTCCCATCTCAACTATGCGACATCAGACGACTTGCTTGCGATTCAAGTACCTACAAGTACCATCAAGATATTGCAATCGAATGAAAAGAGTCAAAGCAAAGAAATTAGATTTCCGAATGACGAGAAGGAAGATGTATTGGTGAATGCAGTGACAGAGAAAGAAACAAACGATTGTGAAAAGAAAATGCGTTCAGCTGATAGGACAGAGTTCGCGATCTCCACAAGTGCTGGTGCCGGTATATTCGTGTCAAGTCTGCCTTCTCTAACAAAATTACAAAGCTCCTTTACTGCACGCGAGCTAAAACTATTCACTCAGCGATTGGACTCAACTCAAGTCGATAGAAATGGTAATACAGGTTACCATATCGCGTCACATCCTCATTCAATCACAGCGACGATGACTCCACACCAGCAAGGATTTCATGAACGATCAACTCCACCGTCTATAAATCAAAAGACATCGGAGAACTTATCGACACACAAGAAGCGTCAGTTTAGGTCGTGGCAACAAGTAACTACGTCGCTTGATCATATCTACGAAAACGATCCATCGATTGACTTGGTCCAATTACACTTGTTACACAGTCACAATACCATTAACAGACGAAAGAAACGAAAACAACTCGAGCATGAGCGCAATCTCGTTGCTGCATCAGGTATTCGAGCACAACAAGGTGAAAAACAGAGGTATTTACAAGAACAGCAACAGCGTAAATTGCGGCTTCAGCAAATGTCCGAAGCCATTCGACAGCAGAACCAAAAATCGGTTAAAACTCCTAAATCAGATCAAACATGGCAAGTCAAGCGAGACAAGGAAAAAGGACCTAAATTGCCAGAGCGAAAGCCACCAGTACCGCGATTAAGTCGTCCCTTTTCATCAATGAAACCGAATCAATTGAAGCAGACAAAAAAGATGCCGGAGCATTTATGTGAAACGTCAATTTCAATTGATTTGGCGATGGATTCGTGTGGACAGCATGACAATCCGAAAGCTCGAGGTGTTGACAAATTAAGCGTATTTCAAAATAATCAATTACCGGGTACAAAGTGTCTTGCTAAGCGTAAATCGCCGTCTCGATCACGACCTTCTACAAAAAAGAAGAAGCAAGATGTAGAAGCAGATAAAAGAGCGGAAGCCACAATGAGAGCTCGAAAAACACGGCGAGCTCTCGCACGAGAGTACATGCAACAGCAACAACAAAGTCGGCGCATTGGACACGCAAGAGCGAAAGAACAATCTCAGCGTGAAAAAGAAAAGCGGCAACGCCAACTCGAGGTAAAACTTTTCAAGCTTTGAATAGCTACGATACTGACCATAACTTCTTCGTAGATTTTAGATGCCAATCGATTAAAGAATCTACGTGTTTCTCAAAGGAAAACAAAGAATCGCACGAACTTCAATAGAGTTGATGCAGCAATGTCTGAAGTAGATCAATCACCCGAGATTGCTACAAAGCTCGAGATGATTGGCCCCCTGGCTGTTCATGACGAAGTATTGTCGGATGCTGCGAATGAGAACGATCAAGCGATTGGAAATTCTGGACATGATAAAGAGAATGCTTATAAGTTGACGGGCTTACATGGAAATGCAGAATGGGTAAGCGCAGCTGATGAACGCATACAAAAGTTACTTGAATTACGAGAGAAGGCAGCGGCGCTCTCAGCTCGGTTGAGTGGACTAGGGAATCAAACCGATAAGATAAAGGAAACAAACACAAAGAACAATCAGGAATGTTCTATTTTAAAAGTCAACGAGATGATTGAGTCTGATGACTACAAATGTCCAGCACTTCAACACAATGCACTGGTTGAAACTCGGACATTTGAACAAGAACGAGAGAAAGACCGCGAGGAGGAGGAGAGTGGAATAGGAGAGGAAGAAGGTGCTGAAACACATCACGGTTCTCTCGAACGAGAAGACGATACCGCCCGAACTTCTAGTAAGATACAAACATCATTCGATGTACAAGACCAGCGGCGACATTCAGCGCAACGTGTCATATCTTCTGAAGTTACAAACTCGATTGGAATGTACCTACCGACTGACTTAGACGAGGAGACTATTGATATTCGATCAATTGGCGTTCACAATATCGAAGTTATGTGGCAACCTGAGCTACCAAATGAAAGTGTGGATGGAGGACAGAGAGTCAATTTATTGTCGTCAAGTTCTTCAAGCTCGTCGGTATCATCCTCACTAACTTCTCATTTGACTGCGCAAAATGAGCAGTGGGCTATTGACCAAAAACCGAATCTGGAAGACAAAATGGACGAAGCTTTTGAAGTGATGTTCTACCAGCAGCTTAAGAGTAAGATAAAAGCACCAATATATGCTGTCAAAGCCGATGAAAAAGAGTCCGAACCCGCGTTTGATTTCACGACTCGTGCGCTTGAATCAGGTCAACATGCAAAACAGGAACACGAAAACCGTCGTGTATCCAGCCCAGTCAATGAAGGTTTAATGCGATTAATACGTGAGACGGACGATTCGCTGAGCGTGGTCGATCGAGCCGCTAAAAAATTGTACTGTGAACAGCAAGAGAAGGTTTTAGAGCGCAAGAAAGAGGAGGAATTACAGGAACGCATTCAAGCTGAAAAAGAAGCACTTGTTGAAAAAGAGCTAGCACTTGCGGCTGTCATAGCCTCAGTCAGTAACAAAAAGATTGTAAGCGAAATGAGCAGTCCAGATGAAGAAGCGCAGTCTTTTAGCGAGGAAGATGGATTAGAATTGCCACATTATCAACGACTCGAAGATATCATAACGGAAGTTGAGAACGAATGCTTAAAAGAGAAGGATGCAATCAATGAACGTGTGGCTACTCCATCAGTACAATACAATTACCACCAAAATGACGAGTCTCCTGCAGCTCAATCAAGCGACGTGGCATCAAATACAGAATTGCAAGCGGAGATGCCGTCATCTATATTCTGGGACCATTTGGTCGCCGATACTTCCGAGAGTCAAAATTCCGAACACTCTTATCGTCCTCACAATGGAAAAGAGACTAAAAAAATTTATTATCGAAGCAGACTCCAGCCTCGAAACGTTGACGAACAGTGGTTACGTGATCCTAATGATTCGCATCGAAATCGTTCACCTCAAACTCTTTCACAGAAATTGCTGGCAGCTGTCGATTATCAGGAAGCCATTTTAGGAGCGCACATGCAATTATCCAAGATGGAAGATGCATATAAAAGGGATCAAGAACTTAAGCAAGCGAATCTGAGAGAATGCAGCGTACAGACCGAATCCCTACCGAGAGTGGATGCAGCGACTTGTGCGGGGCTGTGCGTCGAAACTTCGACTTCGCCGATGCGAGTAGGCGTAGACGCTGCCGTTCAAAATGACGCGACTGAAATAAATAGTGACGAGTCGTCGTTGGAAATGAAATATCAAAGTGAGGAGGACGACGAGTATGGCGAAACTTTCGAAGCTCAAAGCCAAAGTTATGAAGACAATGCTAATCAAAACTTGAGAACTTCTGGAGCTTCATCAATAGTAGATTCGCTCACTCGTAGTGATGATGACAGTGGAGAGGTGAGCGAAAGTGATAGATTTCACGATGAACGTGAATCAAGTAGCGTGGAGGATGATCAAACTTCTGTCGAGAAAATTGGGACCACAAGTATCGTCGACTCAACGGTCTCCAGCGACGTGATCAAAAGCCACTCGAGCCTCGTTGTCGCCGAAATGTCGGACGCGTCTATATCAATGGATTATGAAGATGACTTCGAAGCATCCTCGCCCCGATCGCGAGTGATCGTGGATCGAACTAGTCAAGAGATTCTCGGAAATGTTGTTGAAGACTTCAACGTCCTAGAAAGTACAGAACGCAGTCGAGAAATTGAAGAAATAGTCTTTGGGGAAACATCTAGTATTGATAATGTAGATGAAGGTGAAAAGAGTTTTATTTACCGATCAAATGACTCTGACTGTAGTGGCATGAAGGTTTTAACAGAACAAACAGCGACAGAGAGGCAAGAAGCTCACAGCATACGCGAATCAGTAGAAGTCCGCAGAGACTCGTCGCGTGAAGTAGAAGCGAAGACAGACGGTCATCCAGCGGCGTATCTTTATGACCTCGAGCGTCGCAAACAAGCGGAAGAATCTCTACTTAATCTTCGATTGCAAACTGTTGAGCAAAAGTATCAGCATGAAGTCAAGAAGTTGGAAAGCGCAGTTACGAGTCAATGTGAAGTACAACGTCGAAAAGAGTTGTTGAAAATGGCAATTTTGGCCGAAAAGGCTGATATCGAAAGTTCCAAAGCGGCATCAGTAGCGCGATACTATCAAGATCTGCATACGTTTCAATCACTATCACTGGATTGGCCTCACGCTGTAAATCATGGGGGTCGAGTCAATATACATTCCCATCATTTCTTGAGCAATGATGCAGAAGTCATGTCGACTGGAGAACTACCTTTGGCAATTGATGTTTCATCTACTTGTGAGCAGAACGAAACAAGTCAACATGACGAGTATGCGGACGAATTCGCCTCTGAATCGGAAATTAGCGAAGCCGAAGTTATATTAGAGAAAAGTAGCGACAAAAGTTCGAGAAATGCGGACACGACATCGAAATCGTCCGAAACTTCAGAGATTGAATCCAAGTCAAATGAACAACTCGAAGTATCGGAAATGGCAATACAAGCTGGACAAGATTTTGAGCAAGATGATGAGGACGAAAATTTTGTGGAAGAGGAGGAACAATACGACCAGGACGCGTTCGTATCGATGAGTGAAGAGTATAATGCTCGAACTGACATCGTTACTGAAGTGAAGAATGCTGAAAGTACGAGCATTGACACGGCTGAATGGGTTAGCGAGCACAGTGAAAGTGAAAATGTCGGAGACTTGTTATCAGTGGATGAAAATTTTGTCAACGAGAGTAATGAAGTGGCTGAGTTTGTTGACGAACAGGTCGCGGAGTTTCAAAAGCATGATGTTGCAGATTTTGAAGGAGCGATTGAAGTCGATACAGTTTCGAGTGAAATTGAGCAAGTTGGGACAGCATCTCATGATATTGAGCAAGATGTTCAAAGTACAAAATCCGACCAGCACAATTATTCGGATGATTTTGAGAGTGAACACATGAAGCATCTTACTTTATCATCAGTACCAACATCACAAGCGCAATCCCTAAGTATCAAACACTCTGGAAGTGGTCAGTCCGAGTCTGAAGATTCCTCCATGACTACGCTTCTTGTTACTGAAGTAGCTGCACTTCAAGAGACAATAGCTAGAGCGTCGAGTGAAGGTGATGATCGTAAACTTGCTCGAAAAAAGGTCAAAATTGCGGAGCTATTGCATGCAAAAGAGCGGCTTGTTAGCCAACAAACGGAAGCCTTCCGTCGTGCTGAAGAGAAGAGACATATAGATCTTCTTGCACGATTGGCTCTTCAAATGGATGTTGAGGAGCAAGTACGTCGCGCAAAAGATGAGATTGCACAACAAGTATCGAATGAATTTCAGACGCTGCAGCAAAAGTATTCGATACTTACGATGGGCAACACAATAGCTGAGAAAGTGTCAACGATGGAGCGACACACGCCTTCGGTGCTGATTAAACTCTTTGGCGGAAACTCTGCTGACGCAGCGTCAAAGGTTGATGTCGAATACGAGAACGAGTACGAAACCGAGTCCTTTGACGAAGAGACTGATGCTCTAAAAGCTAGCAAAACATTCGAGGTCGAGAGCACTGAGATTGATGGAGAAAATATTTATGATGGTAAACAGGATAAAGCTGAAGAGAATGAGTTGAGTGACGAGGTTGAGTCAGAATTTTCTGGTGAGAAAGTCGAGGTTGATCAAGAATTGGTCTCAAGTATTGTGGACGAGGAAAATATTCTGAATGGTGGTGACACGATTGTTAGCAATGTTGACGCTCATAGTATTGACGATGAAAATGACTATGAGAATGAATCATTCGACGACGTCCAGTCCATTTCAGATTCTGTGCCAGCGTTGAAAGAGCGAGACGCTCATGTCGACGACGAGATCTTTGACCCAATCGTGGAAAGGTACCAGTCTTTTGAGGGTGGAGATGTCTATTCTGATGAAAATTTCGATAGCGCGTCTGAATCGTTTAATAATGAAGAACGTGCTGACGCTCAAAAGGACCCTAAGACAATAATTGTCAATGACTTTGCAGTATCCGAAAACGTCAGTAGAGACGATGAGGACCTGACGGAAGCGATCGCGAATGTTGTGGTTCAACTAGAACAAAAGTGTATATTTCTTGAACCAGAGAAAGGTTCTACTTGTAATTTGAATGAGGACCGGAGTTTGACAACATCTGTGTCAATGCCACAGTCTTGTGGTAAGGAAGCCGAGTCATTTACAGCGAGTATTGAAGAGCGGACCGCTCGACTCGAAGCTTTGCAACAACAAATTGACGCTCGAAAGTCTGACCTTCTTGCTGTTCAAATGCGAATGCGTGTGGAAAGTCGGAGAGGAAAACTCATGGCTCAGGAAAAAGTGTTGTGGGACGAGATGGAAGCCGTTCAGAAGTTACTGAAAGCGGATGAAGCGGCTGTGGCATTGTGTGGCCAACGCAATCGTTTGGACATGATGCAGCTTGAAGCAAGGCACGTAAGTCTATCAAGTGACAGAAAAGAGATCAGGGATTTGTTGCTCGGGTTTGACTACATTGAAAATGCACAAGTTGGTCACAATCTGCAGGAATCCTTGGCAAGTGGTAAATTAGCGAGGCAAGATCAAGCGTTACGACAATATGACTTGCTTGACGGATATACGTATATTGAATATACTGAGGTTGCGAATTATTCTGTGAGCAACTTTACAGCAGCTGAAGAGAAATTTTTGGAGAGAGATGAGAATAGTTTGTTAGCCGTGAGACATTCAATGCCTCGAGTTGTTACTGACAAGGGCGTGATGATAGAATGTGATAGAGAAAAAGGTGAGGAGATTTGTCGAGGAGAAGAGGATTTTCTTGATAATTCGCAGGACGATAAGGGAGATGCGAAAAGCTCTTTGGACCTTCAAGAAACGATTGAAGCCGCAGCTGAGATGAAAATGCCATTGCAAGAGTCATTGGAGCAAGAAACGAGTCAAGATCTACTTGATGCATACGCATATGTGGAAGATGTCGAGCCGGTATCAAACGCAAAAGTTGATCTTCTGGCAGAGTTTGAATATGTGGAGATAATTGAAACCGTCGAGCTAGAGTTAAATCATGATTGCTTGAGCCAGACAATGGTTGAGACTGGAGAATTATTAGAGAATTTGGTTTCTGCCCAAGATGCGCCAGACGAATATACTTTGAAGCAAGAAACATTTAGCGAAGGCAGTCAAGCTGAGAATAACGAATCAATTGACGATCAAACTATCGCAGCCGATCTTCGAGTTGGTGAACTGTCTAATTCTTTGCTGACAGAAAGCACAATATGTACAGCCGACAACGATCGTGCAAGCGAAAATGCTCACGGGATTAAAGAGATAGCTGGCTTGATGGAACATGATAAAGCATTTGTTACAATTGGAACTGCTCAACTTGATACCATCCCTTCACCAGACAAATATGACCGATTAGAAAAGTTTTTAGACACGAGAAATGCTGATCGAGTGACTATGCTGCTGTACTCTGACTTCATTCAAGAGCTCGACGAACGTACGTGATACGTATAAAAGAATGCTGCTTTTACTGATGTATCGTGTTTTTCTTGCTTGCAGAAATTCTCACTAATTTTCGTTCGAGAAGTATCAACGTCGAGCCAGATCAACCGTTTCACAAGGCCGTACTCGTTCCTTTCAACAATCATGTAAACATCAAGACCAACAACTTACAATGTGAAGATAATGAGATAGGTCCAAGAGAGGGAGACTTGTCCAAATGTGAATCTGACAAGGAGTCCAGGATAAAGTCTATCTGCAAAACTCTCGTGGATACTGATAATAACGAGGATATTGCAGACATGTCGAACATTACAGCTCATACTCTCTACGAAAATTCTCTGGATAACAAGCCTTTAGTCGGAAATAATGACTCATTTGAAATTGTCGCTCCTCACGTATCATCTATCAAGCAAAATTCGACTTTGAGCTTGGCATCAAGTGATGAAAATCTTGTTGAGAGCTCAGGGTTCAAAGCATTGACTGATGCTTCTCCTGAAGTACAAAGCGAGCGCATTGTCGACGTAATTTTTGCCAGTATATATGATGAAGTTATCAGCTCATCGCTGCAGCTCATGTCTCATCCAAAAGTCATAGACACATCTTTGAATAAATCAAGCAATTCCGAACCAATTGTGGCTGCACCCAAAACTTTCGATAATATCTTTGAATCCAGAAAGCACCTTCGAGAGCGCAATTTTACGCATCAAGTTGTGACTCAGCTAACGATTGTCAATGACAAGGTACGCTTGTCAAGTTTCTACCATTGAACGTTTGAAAACAAAATTGACAGTCTGTGACAATCAATTTACAGATTCACCTTCCAGATTTCAACTCTTTTGGCCTCGAATTCAATTCATTCACTGTCCACGCCTTGTACGATACCATCAAAGACCTCGCATGTGATTATCTACGTCGTGTTCAGCACCATGACATGCTCGACTATGCTTCGCTACTCGCACGTCTCCAGCACTACGTCATCATTGAAATTAACAAATTGCTTGAGCTTCGAGCACAGACGGATTTCAATCTTATGCGACAAGTTCAATTGATTTCCAATGAGTTTAATTTTGAAAATCAAAGCATTCGTGACGTTTTAGTGTCGAACAACTGTCTCGATATTAACGTGAACAACATCGTTTCCAAGGTCAAGATAGATCTTTGCAAGGTCAACAACGAGCTTAATGATTCAGTTCCGCGAAAACCTGTACGAGTCCAGCACTCGTCCATTCTATCATTACTTCAGACTCAGCAAGAGCAAGTAATACAACAACGAATTGCACAGCTTCTTTTCGACGAATTATTGACCGAAAGTCTGGATATCCTCTGAGGTGTTATCTCGAGTCGCTATGACTGTCTACTTTGTTTCGGCCCATAGAAGCGCAATGATCGACTGGTTTTTCGTATTCTCGACCATGATATGTTTGCTAAGCAGACGTTAAGAAGACACTCCGAGTTTCTTATAAATTCACGTTGATTGTCAAGTCTGCTGCTGTCTCGACTCTTCAGTCGGTTGTAGCAAAGTATCCACAACTTTTAAATGACGAGATTTTAGATTTGCACCTGATGCACACACGGAGTAAAGCGTACAAATCGCTCTTTGCTCAATTCATTGCCTGTTACCCACAAGGTTTGATCTATCACTTTTATGGTCTGGAAGTGAGCCAGATGAACTTGAAGGCTCAAAATGCGACTGATGAAAGAGCAGTTAATGAGACTTTGAATTTAACCATGTCCCGATGATAGACGAGTTTCATACAACTATCATCTGGAGTCGTATGCTCAAGGGTGAAAAACACCTTCGTGTGTTATGTCTCGCTATGGATATGTTTAATCATGATGTCATGCTAACAGACGATACGATCACGAATAAGCTCACAAAGGGACAGACGTAGGACTCTGGCGAAAAATTGTTTATGAATGATGTTTACGTGCTACTTTGCGTGTAATTTTGATGAACGAAGAGGATTTTCGATCGTAGGTTTATTACATGTTTAATGTCTACCAATAATAGTATCTGGGTTTGTTCAAAATCAATATATTCTGAGCGTTTGCAATGAATTGGCCGTGTACGAAATTTACAAGTTACGTGCTGACGATAGCTTACAAGCTTTCCGACAATGTACACCCTGTGATAATAAACAGAAATCATTGTGTTCAAATCACTTGATATCGTGCATACTTGAAGAGGACGAGAGGATTATAGCTGATGATGAGATCAAAACAAACTTGCGTTTGTTGTGTTCAGCACACATGCGTGTTGAGGGCAAACAAGTAGCTCACTGTTGTAGATGACACTCCAAAGCAGTGAAAGCATGCGTCACGAATACTCGACCGTTGCCAAGAACAAAGTGGGACATCGTACCAACTAAGTGTTACGCAGTAAAAAGTTCTGAAATGACGAAATAGAGTACTTTTGGAATTGTTCAGCGATTGACAGAGCCCCTAACTCTTGTCCAGATTTCGCGTCAGTTATACCTGTAAGGTTTACGTCTTTCTTTATTGTGTTCATTGCGATTTGGCAAACAATGTGTGTGAAGTCAAACAAGCATTGCAGCAGGGCTGCCGTAGCTTTTTGCTTAGACATTTACGTATTTTACAAGAACCAGTACGAGTGAATCCGCTGCCTCCAAGAATACTTAAATCCTTAGCCAAGGTAAAGAGACTTTTCCGTTCAAAATTGAGACTGTATTTTATTGTTTTAGTTGCGCCTATATCTAAATCCTTAAGTTTTCCTGATTAATATAGTAATATGCATTACTACTGGCAATCCTGCCACGTAGTGGCTTCTTGTTACGGTGTAGCCACGCCACTGTCAACTTGTGTAATCCCCACCTATGTACGGTCACACCATCTTGTGCGACCCACCCTTTCATACAAGGGTACGTGCAACCCCCAAACACTCTCCCAATTAAATTGTGATTATCCGCAATTCACATATAACGGTCGCCTCATACGAGGCTCGCGTGTCCGAGACACTATCACGTTCTTAAGAACAACCTTTAACATTCTCCGCTCTTTGATCTCTGTGTCAACGACATGCGAAACACCCAGCCTAGCTGAAGACACAATGTGATATCATGGATAGCCACTTGATCATTGTCATCGCACTCAAGCTCTACTGTGAAATCAGAGGCAGAAAGGTAAAGCCTCTCTAAGTTGCTTAAGAAAGCCGCCTGATCACGAGTGAATTTCCTGACAGCGAACGAATTGCAAGTCAAATTTCTGCAATAATTCTGTCAGCGCAAATAAATACATGATGACGACATTTCACAGATATTAACGTACAATGTGTTCGGATTGAGATGCCCGTATATCGCATCATCTGCAGTAGTAAAACATTTCCGCTCAAAGATCTATAAGATAACGGCGCCCGCGGGCAAAGCCCTTCTTTTTCTTCGGCACAGTGTGCAGCTTGGACAGTACGTCCGCGGCTTCACAAGAAGCACATCCCAAGCCCTCAGCAACTGAGCGCAACACACCACGCCCGCCCTTGGCGACGGATTGCCTTGTCGAGGAGTTGAAGGCGGTCGATTTTGAGTCGGATACTCCTTTCTCAGCATGGAAAGAGGAGGAGGATGAGGTGCGCCCTCAGCGCGATGTGAGCCCAGCTCAAACCTTGCGGACACCGTGTCTGTCCCCGACCTCTCGGCTTCCGAAGAAAAGGAATATTATTACCAATCGCCTCGACGAGGCACAGGGGCAGCAATTGAGGCTGCCTACGTGGCGGCTCTCATGCGCTCGTTTCCATGTTCGGTCGTGTACCCTCGTGTGCAGTGCGGCTTTCGCTCGGCGAATCCCGCTACTGAAGCAAAAGACGCGATCACTCGATCGTTAGGCGTCTACATAGTCGGACCACCGACCATGAGCATGATCAGCGGATGGCTCACCGAGATCGCTATTTGATGCCACAAGAAATGCAAATGATCGTTTGCGCGCTCGACTTCGAGCTCAAAAAGGAGGCGCTCCTGTATTCGCAATTTGGATTATTCCTGTGGTGCTCGCCCCTGGCGATACCGCTATAGATGGTGAGGAGCTCTTTAAGCGAGGGTGCAGCGGTGCTGGAAACTTTCCTCGCTGTCTACCCAACAGCAAAGCCACAAGGAAGTGGACGTGCGCGGTGAACGCCATCTTAGATTTGAGTTTGCCAAACTTAAAGCGCGACGCCGACTTCCTGCGTATTGTCGCCCTGCGACATATGGAACAATCCATAACGCTCCTGCGAGCTCTGTGGTTTCTCACACGGGTGAGGTTACGATCACAGCAGCTCAGGGTCATAGCTTGAGCTCAAGTCATGGCTCTTCGGCTTTTCGGGTTACTGGCGAGAAGCGCGGGGCACACGACGACGCGGAGCGCCATGATCCTTCTGATCATATGCGTCCACGACGTCTGGACAGTCTTGCCGAAGTGGCACCTCAAACTCCCACGAGCTCTCGGAGTTTGAGTGTCCCCGCCACTTCACAAGATACTGGGTTAATCCCCGTCGACGACGTCAACCCACAAGGCGTTCACGTGGTAGTAGACGCCATCATTCCCATCGAGAAGAGTCGGCGGCGAGCGATGACGACCTGGTCGATCGGCGTCCGGTGACTTGCGATGCTCTTTGAGCGTTGGAGGACAGAGGCCGTCGTCTTCGGCACTCTACCGAGCATCTTGCGGAGGTCGCCTACCGCTATGCGGGAGACCTCGAAAGCCTGGCGTTTTTGTGCACCGACTGCTTCACGTTGAGGATGATCGTGCTTTGTCGGAGCGGCTCCTAGCCGTTGAGCAGTCGAATGCGTTGCTTCATGCAATGGTGGAGCGCTTGGCGTCGTTGGAGATAAAGATCGTTTCACTCCGTGCCCAACACCAGTTGCTGATCGAACTCTACTTGTAGGTGTTTATTTATCAATTTTATCAAATTCTGATTGAACTAATCGATTCAGCGTGAGATTATACGTACAATTGTGGCTTCTGGGCGGTTGAGCGCGTATATTGCCACCCCAGCGCCAACGCTTCCGCGTTCATTTGCGCCGGATCCCGTACGGCTTTGCCAAGCCCAAATAGAACACCGGGTGGGTGTGCATCCTTCTCGGAAGGTTCAGTGTATACGTCAGGCCTCGCTTAGCCACGACCTTAAAACATTTAATAAACCGTGGACGGAGCTTTGTCTTAAAGACAGCAGAGACTGCATGTGTAGGAAGGCTTTTAACATTTATGAAACCAGGTCTCCGACCTCAAAGTTTCAGCATTTCTTCTGCTTCTTCTATCTGCATATTCGTTCTGCATGTCTTGGCTTTCAGTCATCGCATCGCAAAAGTTTTGTAGAACACTCAGTCTGGTAGACAAGAAGTCATCGACTTCCTTACGACCAGCGAGCGGGCTGACATCAGCTAGCTGCTCGGCCATTACTCCCTAACAAGCCCTGAGCCATGGGTTGGCGGTATAAGCGCGACACGAGTATTTATAGGCCCGTTCACATAGAACGGCGTGTAGCCGGTAGATGAATGTACTGCATTGGCCCGAGCAACTTCTACGAGCAGCACTTCAGCGTCTCAGCGCAGACACTGCGAAGAACATCTTCAACGACGCAATTGACGCGCAGTCTGGCCATCGGTCTGCGGATGGTCCGCTGTTGACATTATCAGTTTGGTGCCTAGCACCCTGAAGATTGTAGACGAAAACTTCCCAGAGAAGCGCCGGTTTTGATCAGGAACAATTAACTTCGGGTGTCCGTGTTGCCGAATTACACGATCGGCGAATAGCGTCGCTGTATCCACAATATCATGGTGTCCGGTACCGCCCCAACATGAGCCATTTTGCTCAAACGGTCCACAAAGACCACCACACCCGTGTTGCCCGCCGAGTCTTTTGGCAGGCCAAACTTAAAGTCTATAATCATGGACTGCTAACAACTGGAGTGTACCGGCAAGCTGGCCAGCGGCGCCGCTGCATTCGGAGAAAGTTTCACCCTCTGATACGTCTCACATGTGCGCATATATGTGATCGTCCATTTGTAAAGCTTGGGCCACCAATAGTGGCAACTCACCGAGCTGTAGGTCTTCTCACGACCGAGATGACCACTGAGTGAGGTGTCGTGGGCCTCACAAATGATACGGTATTTCAAATCCTTATCATGAGGAACCCCAATCTATGGCGTATCCGTCGAATCGGTGCTATAATACAGCAACGGTTACTCAACGAATATCGGTGTAATCGTGCGCACAAACGCCGACAACTTCTTGTCCGAGTTTCCAAAATCTTTGCTCCGAGAGCCTGTAGCATCACTAAACACATAACATCATCCGTGTATGCTGCGCGGATCAAATCCGTCACTGACGACGTCACCGTCGTGACATAAGCGAGCCCACAGTCTGGTCTGCGTGACAACGCATCAGTCAAAGCATTCTGCTTACCTGGCTTATACTTCACCTAGAAGTTATATTTTGCGAAAAAGGAGAGCCACCTGGCCATCCTCTGCGAAAGGTGAGACGACTGAGTCGCAGTGCGTTGTGACGCATGATCTGTGTAGATCACAAAGGGCTTTGATCCAAGCAGGTGCACACTAAACATGACAAGTGCGTAATTCATCGCAAGTAACTTCTTGTCGTGGACTAGGTAGTTCTTCTCCGCAGCCTTCAGCTGGTGAGATTCGAACGTGACCACCCGATCTCGCCCCTTGGCGTCTGCTTGCAGCAGTGCACAGCCGATGTAAAAGTCCGAAGCGTCACTGAGGACATTAAAAGGTTGATCGGGGTCTAGCAATGCTAGTACTGGTGCATGAAGGAGGCTTTGTTTGGCCCTGTCAAACGCTTCCCGATGCTCGGTGCACCCAACACCATTTCTTTTCCTTCTTTAGAAGATTCGACAATGGTAGTGCTATTTCCGCATAGAATTTGCGCCATACTTGTGCAAGTAGTCGGCGATGTCAAGCAACTTGCGCAAGTCCTTGGTTCTTTGGAACCGGCCATTCCTTAATGGCCTTGATCGTAGCGGGATTTGCTCGAAGGCCACGCTTCCAAATAAAGCACCTTAAAAAAAGAATTCATCAGGCGCCGAAGATGCACTTGTCGGCATAAGGACGATGTGGTTTTACAAATCTGTCCTCACGTGCTCCGCACGACTGTGGACGAATATGTCGTCGAAGTATGTCTGTGCCTACGCCCTCTGTGGCCTGAACAACTGCGTCACAGGACGATTTAATGTTGCTGGTGCATTTGACAGCCCTTGAGGCATCACCAGCCACTCCTAGAGCATTCCGCTCGGAGTACTCATTGCTGTCGGCGGTATATTCCTCGCTCTCAGAGCGATTGGTTACAAGCATCGACCAAATCGAGTGCGCTGTGCTTTGCACAGCCGGTTACAAAACACCCTTTCCAGGAATCGGCGTCTGTGCCTCAATGGTGGCAGCGTTAAGCTTATTGAATGCGTGAGCGATACACAACTTACCGTTCGGCTTCCTGACACAAAACGTGGGTGTCGAGTGGGGAGACTTTTCCTCACGCACCATATCTGCGTCGTGCTTTGCCTAAGAAAGGCGTCATGACGTCACACTGCTCCTTATACAAGGGCCATTGGCGTGTTATGCAGTATTTTATTTCCAAAACCTGGTCGATCGCATGACGCACACCTCGGTCCGGAGGTAGGACCGACGGCGGGTCTTTGGAGACAACGTCTTGAAATTTCTTTACCAAAGAATAGTACGGACCAAAGGGACCCTTTTGAATCGACGACCCACCTCGTGCGCTCAGCACCCAGCTGGTGTCCTCCAGGACAGCTTTATCCAGAAGTAACGACGAGTTAATCTCCTCGTTTGGTCGTATAATGACCACCTCGGCTAAATTGCCTGTCTTCAAGGTACCATGAAACTCCCCGAATGACATCTTGTCCAGCTCATG